TACAGCCTCAGACAGCTGGGAATACCACCCCAAATCACTTGGATGAGATGTTTTCCTTATCCTGTGCCTTTAACTCTGAGAAGGCTAGAGTTGAACAGTAATCGTCAAAATGTACAAATGTGTAAACATCATGAGATGTTTAAGCGGAACTTTAAAATTTAAATTCTACCAGGTGTGGCGGCTCCTGCCTATAATCCCAGCACTTTGGGATCCCTGCACAGGAGGATCACTTGAGCCCAGAAGTTTGAGACCAGCCTGGGTAACACAAGGAGACACTATCTCTCCAAAAAAAATAAAATAAAATAAAATAAAAAAAATAGGGTGGGTGAGATGGGAGGATCACTTGAACCCAGCAAGTCAAGAAGGCAGTAAGAGGAGATCTATATTCCAGCCTGGGCAAAAGAGAAAGACCCTATGTCAGAAAAAAAGAAAAAGGCACCCAGCAGCCTGAGTGTGGTGTCTCACGCCTGTAATCCCAGCACTCTGGGACACCAAAGTGGGTGGATCTCTTGAGGTCAGGAGTTTGAGACCAGCCTGGCCAACATGGTGAAGCTCTGTCTCTACCAAAAATTACAAAAATTAGCCAGGTGTGGTGGCGCTTGTCTGTAGTCCCAGCTACTCTGGAGGTTGAGGTGGAAGAATTGCTAGAACCCCCAGGAGGTGGAGATTGTGTGAGCTGAAATCACCCACTGCAATCTAGCCTGGGTGACAGAGTGAGACCCTGTCTCAAAAAAAAAAAAAAAACAACAACAACAACCCAAAACCTCACCAGCAACAAATCTACAGGCCCCCACGTCTGTCAGTTGCCTGCCTGGATGATCTGGGAACCTGGGAGAGAGGCGTGGCCCCAGGCTACTCATCTGGACTTTCCTAGCTGAAGGGCCTGGGTTGAACCTCAGTTTACTGTGTTTACTGACTGGGTAATGTGACCTCTGTGAAGCTGGTCACCTACCTATAAAATGGGAATTAAAACAACACCCACTTGCTCATTCTCTTTCATCCCTCCCATGTGTGTGAACCGTGTGCTCCTGTGGGCCAGCCACTGGTCTGGGTGCTAGGACTTGGTACGCAAGGACAGATGAGGGTCTAGGTCTCACTGAGCTTACATTGTAGGGAGAACAGGCAAGAAAATAATGGAGCGATGAGCACTGGGAGGAGATCTGGCTGATCAGTGATGCAGAGGCTGGGGAGCTGATTTATTTAATATCTATGTATGTGTATGTTTTTTGGTTTTGTTTCTTTGAGACAGAGTCTTGCTTTGTCACCAGGCTGGAGTACAGTGGCATGATCTCAGCTCACTGCAACCTCCACCTCCCAGGTTCAAGCAATTCTCTTGCCTCAGCCTCCTGAGTAGCTGGGACTATGAGCATGCACCACCATGCCCAGCTAGCTAATTTTGCATTTCTGGTAGCAACGAGGTTTAACCATGTTGGTCAGGATGGTCTCAATCTCTTGACCTCATGATCTGCCCACCTCAGCCTCCCAAAGTGCTGGGATTACAGGCACGAGCCACCGTGCCCTGCCTTATTTATTTATTTTTTTTTTGAGACAGAGTCTCACTTTGTCACCCAGGCTGGAGTGCAGTGGCGCCATCTCAGCTCACTGCAACCTCTGCCTCCAAGGCTCAAGTGATCCTCCCCCCTCAGCCTCCCGAGTGGCTGGGACTACAGGTGTACACTGTGACACCTGGCTGATTAAGACCCACAATTCTTAGAGATAAAGGCTAAAATGATAAATTTTACATTATGCACATTTTGTCAAACCCACATAAAAACCATAAAAACAAAAGCGCTTTCTTGGCCTCATTAACTCTTTACAATTACTGCATTCCTCTGCCTCCTTTAGAGCCAAACTCCTGGAAAGGTCTCTAGTCGCTGTGTGCAATACCTCTCTTCCCACGCTCCTCTGAATCCACTCTAATCAGACTTTCCCTTGCCAGCATGCTCCTGAAATGGCTCTTGTCAAGGTCAACAATGACCTCCTCCTTGTTAAATCCAGCAGCTTCTTAGCAGCATCTCACACAGCTGGTCACTGCCTCCTCCCAAAAACCACTGCCTTCAAGAGGCTCCTCCTGGTCTCCCCGTCTCCTGCCCTGCTTCCTTCTCAGTCTCCTTTGTGGGGCCCCTCCTTTCCTGAGCTCTCCTCTGGCCCTGGCTCTTTCTCTGCGCACACCCAGTCCCTTGGTGACATCAAGTCGATATTGCCATGGTTTTTTTGTTGTTGTTTTGAGATGGAGTCTTGCTCTGTTGCCCAGTTTGGCTCTGCTGCCCAGGAGTGCAGTGACGCAATCTTGGCTCACTGCAACCTCCACCTCCCGGCTTCAAGCGATTCTCATGCCTCAGCCTTCTGAGTACTTGGGACCACAGGTGTGAGCCACCTGCCTGGCTAATTTTTGTATTTTTGTAGAGACAGGGTTTTGCCACCTTGCCCAGGCTGGTCTCAAATTCCTGGACTCAAGTGATCTGCTCATCTCAGCCTTCCAAAGTAGTGGGATTACAGGCATGAGCCACGACACCCAGCCACCGTGGTTTTTAATAGCATGGATGCATTATACTGATGTTGCCCATTTTTACACCTTTAGCCTGACTTCTCCCATGAACTCCATTCTGTTATTACTTTAACATTTCCACTTAGGAGCTGAGTTTGCATCTCAAACTGAACACTTCTGAAGCCTAACTCCGCATCTTCCAAGAGCTGTTCTTCCCAGGGACTTCCCCACTCCAGTGCATCACAGCCTCACCCTTCTAGTTGCTCAGCTCAAAACCTTAGCAAGGTTCCCTTTCCTCGTACCCCATTTTTTTTTTTTTTTGGGTCGGAGTCTTACTCTTGTTATCCAGGCTGGAGTGCAGGGACTAGATCTCCGCTCACCGCAACCTCTGCCTCCCAGGTTCAAGCAATTCTCCTGCCTTAGCCTCTTGAGTAGCTGGGACTACAGGCATGCGCCACCATGCCCAGCTAATTTTTTGTATTTTTAGTAGAGACAGGGTAGACCAGGATGGTCTCGATCTCTTGACCTCGTGATCCACCCACCTCGGCCTCCCAAAGTTCTGAGATTACAGGCATGAGCCACTGCACCCAGCCATTTTTTTTTTTTTTTTTTTTTTTGAGACGGAGTTTCGCTCTTGTTACCCAGGCTGGAGTGCAATGGCGCGATCTCGGCTCACCGCAACCTCCGCCTCCTGGGCTCAGGCAATTCTCCTGCCTCAGCCTCCTAAGTAGCTGGGATTACAGGCACGCGCCACCACGCCCAGCTAGTTTTTTGTATTTTTAGTAGAGACGGGGTTTCACCATGTTGACCAGGATGGTCTCGATCTCTCGACCTCGTGATCCACCTGCCTCAGCCTCCCAAAGTGCTGGGATTTGTTTGTTTATTTTTTGAGCTGGAGCCACCATGCCCAGTTTAGAAGCCCAAATCTGTAAGCGGCCTGAATCCCTCATGGTCTACACCCGCTACTCCATTCCCTTTTAACTTCTCTGCTTTCCCCATTGATGGCCTTGCTGAGTTCATACTGGCTTTTTTTTTTTTTTTTTTTTTTTGAGACGGAGTCTCATTCTGTTGCCCAGGCTGGGGCTGGAGTGCAATGGCATGATCTCAGATCACTGCAACCTCCACCTCCCGGATTCAAGCACGTCTCCTGTGTCAGCCTCCCAAGTAGCTGGGACGACAGGTGCATGCTACCATGCCCAGCTAATTTTTGTATTTTTAGTAGAGACAATGTTTCACCATGTTGGCCAGGCTGGTCTCGAACTCCTAACCTGGTGATCAGCCTCCTTGGCCTCCCAAAGTGCTCGGATTATAGGCATGAGCCACCTTGTCTGGCCCTGACTTCTTTTTTTCTTTTATAAGATGGAGTCTCACTCTGTCACGTGCAGTGGCACAAATTTGGCACACTGCAACCTCTGCCTCCTGGGGTTCAAGCGATTCTCCCCTCTCAGCCTCCCAAGTAGCTGGGATTACAGGTATCTACCACCACACCAAGCTAATTTTTGTATTTTTAGTAGAGAAGGGGTTTCACCATGTTGGCCATGCTGGTCTCAAAACTCCTGACCTCAGATGATTCACCTGCCTCCACCTCCCAAAGTGCTGGGATCACAGTTGTGAGCCACCACACCCGGCTTCTTTTTTCTTTTAATTTGTTAATAGAAACAAGGTCTTGATATGCTGCCCAAGCTGGTATCAAACTCCTAAGCTCAAGCAGTTCTCCTGCCTTGGCCTCCCAAGTAGCTGGGATTCCAGGCTCGCCCCGCTGTGCCTGGCCCATGCTGGCTTCTTCCTCATTGGGATCACACCTGCCCCAGGACCTTTGCTACTTGCTGTTCCCCTGCCTAGAACACTCTTCCCCCAGGGGGCTTCCCCCAGGGAGTTAGGGCTCCCTCCCTTACCACCACCAAGTCTCTACTACACTGATACCTTCCCACCCTATTTAAAATTGCCCCAAGGCTGGGTGGGGTGTCTCATACCTGTAATCCCAGCACTTTGGGAAACCCGAGACAGGCAGATCCCCTGAGGTCAGGAGTTCGAGACCAACCTGAACAACATGGAGAAACCCTGTCTCTACCAAAAATACAAAATTAGCTGGGTGTGGTGTCTCATACCTGTAATCCCAGCTACTCTGGAGGCTGAGGCAGGAGGATCACTTTAATCCATTAGTTTGCAGTGAGCCGAGATCTCACCACTACACTCCAGCCTAGGTGACAGAAGGAGACTGTCTCAAACAAAAACAGAAACAAAAAACAAAAACAAAAAAACTGGTCCTGAATGCTCCCCTTCCTAGGTCCTGGACCTAAATTTGAATTCATTCAATATATATTTGGGAGAGGCAGGGAGGCTCAAATTTTGTAAGCTTCAGGTCCCATCCATCTTCCCTGATTTATTTTTCTCTCCAGCCCTTATCACCATCTGAACAAAGATTCATTTTTTATCTGGTTTGTTATCCATCTCTTTCCTCCCTAGAATGTAATGTAAGTTCTAGGTGGGCAGAGATGCCTGCTTTGCTCACTTTTACATCCCCAGAGTTTAGAGCAGTGCCTGAAAAAATCCTGTGGAAGGAATGCAAGTGCCTACCTAACTGCAGCTTGCCTTTTTTTGTTTGTTTGTTTGTTTGTTTTTGGGCAGCCATTCAAGAAATTTATTAAAAATCCTAGAGAGGCAGGCTAGGGAGGGCTGAGTTGGTTACATCTGGGGTCCATCTAGGTCCCATCTTTGGAAGAGATGGTGGTGGTTAGGGCTGCCCGGAGCTCCTCGGGGGCAAAGACCTCCAGTTCTGTGATGATGCTGCCAGTGATGAGGTTGTGGGGGGTGACATCGAAGGCAGGATTCCAAACTCCAATCCCAGGTGCCGCAATCCAGACCCCATTAACATCGGTCAGCTTCTGGCTCGGATGCTCTTCAATGATGATCTCCTTGCTGGTCTCCAGACAGAGGTCACAGGAAGAGCTGAGAGCAGCCATGTAGAAGGGAATGCCGTGGTGCTTGGCGACAATGGCCAACTGGTAGGTGCCCACCTTGTTGGCTGTGTTGCCATTGGCAACCATGTGGTCAGCTCCCACGATCACGGCTGACACGCCCCTATGGGCCATGGCAGCAGCTACCATGCTGTCGGCAATGAGGGTGGCGGGGATCTGCTCATAGGCCAGCTCGAAGACCATCAGTCGGGCTCCCTGGTTGTAGGGCCAGGTCTTGGTGCAGAAGGCGTGCTCCAGGCGGCCCAGGCTGCGCAGTGATCAGATCACACCTAGGTCTGTACCATAGCCAGCAGTGGCCAGAGCATTGGTGTTACAGTGGGTCGGCACAGTCACCTTGCCACCGTTGGGGGCCACCTGGTCCAGGTGGTGGGCTCCGAGATCTCCGATGCTCCAGTTGTCTCTGAGGTCTTTCTCCAGCATGTCCTTGGCGCAACGGATTACTCTCTCCCGGACTGCCTCCTCCGTAGTGCCCTCCCGGGCCGACCGGGCCGCAGCATCAGCCAGGTCGCGGGTGGGGTGGGCCATGTTGACAGCAGTGGGCTGAGTGGTGACGAGGAAGCTCAGCTTGTCGCGCACGAAGGCCACCAGTGCGGCAAGTCCCAGTCCCCCGGTGCCCGTCTGCAGCTCCATGGCGAGGCTGAGGCAGCCCACTAGGGTGATGGCTGGGGTGCCCCACACCTTCATGGCATGGATGGCCTACCAGGCTTGGCGCACCGAGCCCACCGCCTCATAGTGGCTTTGCTGAGGCAGCAGCAGCTGGTCCAGGATCTGCAGGGAGCCCCTAGAGTAGCGGATTGCCTCCAGGGTCATGGTGCAGCGGCCAAACCCAGCACAAATCCAGGGGCACTGGGGTCTGAGCGCACGTGAGGAGTGGGGCGGTTTTTTTTTTTTTTTAAGATAGTGAGACAAGTCTTGCTTTGTCGCCCAGGCTGGAGTGCAGTGGCACCATCTCGGCTAGCTGTAACTTCTGCCTCCCGAGTTCAAGGATTCTCCTGTCTCAGCCTCCCGAGTAGCTGGGACCACAGGCATATGCCACCACACTTGGCTTATTTTTGGTATTTTTAATAGATATTAAAAATATCTATTAAAAATAGATATTTTTAATAGATATCTATTTTTCAGGGTTTCACCATGTTAGCCAGGATGGTCTCCATCTCCTGACCTCGTGATCATCGGCCTCCCAAAGTGCTGGGATTACAGGCATGAGCCATCACGCCGGGCCCCTAGCTGCATCTTCCAAGGTCAGTTTTCCCTTTGTACTCTCCCCAGTCCACTTCTCTCTCCTAAGTGCCCCCTGTCTACTCATCCCCAGCCCTCCTTAGACCCCACAGGAGCAGCCCTCCCAGGCACCTGGAGTTTCAGTTCATTGACATCCCACTTTAAGCTATAAAACCTTGCATTCCCCTGGGGCCAGGAATATGCTTGGGACACCCAAAGTGTCATCATTCTACTAATTAGCTGACATGTTACCTACATCTTCACAGTAATTAAGTCAGTCTCCACAAAGATGAGCCCTTTGGAAGTGAGGACAGCAGGAATGATGTGACCTATTTTATAGATGAAGAAACTGAGGCCAGGTAAGGTGAAGCTACCAGCCCAGCCTTGATCTCTACATGGTCTATCTCTATGGCGTGACCTGCTGAGCCTTCTGTTTGGCCACAGTTAAAAACATCCCTGCCACCCTATCATCAATATTTTGATTCCCTCAGACACATTCTGTTAGTCCCTGACTAACCGCATCCTCTGAGCATTTTATTTTATTATTAATTTTTTTTTTTGAGATAGAGTTTTGCCCTTGTTGCCCAGGCTGGAGTGCAATGGAGCGATCTCGGTTCACTGCAGTCTCTGCCTCTAGGGTTCAAGTGGTTCTCCTGCCTCAGGCTCCTGAGTAGCTGGGATTAAAGGCGTACACCACCATGCTCAGATAATTTTTGTATTTTTAGTAGAGACAGGGTTTCACCATGTTGGCCAGGCTGGTCTTGAACTCCTGACCTCAGGTGATCCACCCACCTTGACCTCCTAAAGTATTGGGATTACAGGTATGACCCATCATGCCTGGCCCCTCCAAGCACTTCAGCAGGAGCCTGGAAACTTATTGCCGAGATGGGCTAGGTAACAGGAGGGACCAACATTAGTCATACCAAAGGAGTTCCTGTCTGGGTGACTCTGGATCTGGATGCTGCTGGGGGTGGTGGAGGTTGACTAAGAGACAAGCACCGCAGGTAGGTGGCCAGGGTGTGGTTAGTGGTGGGGGCGAGGGTGCTGTCCCAGGGCCTTCCAGCCCCCATGGGGTCTGCAAAGCAGGCTTCAGTCAAAGTGACCTCCTGCTCGTACTCTTCGTCCAGCAGTCCCCACCTCTAACCCTACATGTCCTTTCTAACCACCTATGAAATCAGAAGCGAGAAAAGCCCTAAGATGGGAAAACAGGTCTTGCTCCTTCCTGGCAAACCAGCTGGGCAGGTTTGCTGGTGCAAGCGTGGAGGGTGGAGGAGCCAGTCAACATCAGGGAATGAACAGAGCCAGCAAATGCCAGGGCCTGGGAGACAGCTCTGGGGTGAATCCAGATAAAATCATGCCTGGGTTTGATCTAGTGCTGACCACAGCTGGCTCTTACAGTCAGGTGGCTGTGTAGATGTGTGGGAAAATGGGCTGGTTTTGAGGGAGGATTTCAAAGGATGTGATTACTAGTAGTCAGAAGAAGCAATTTTGTCAACTATCAAGGTACATTCACAGAGCAATGTATCAAGAACACCCAAGAGGCCAGGCAGGTGGCTCACACTTGTAATCCCAGCACTTTGAGAGGCTGAGGCAGGTGGATCACTTGAGGTCAGTTTGAGACCAGCCTGACCAACATGGTGAAACCCCATCTCTAAGAAAAATACCAAATTAGCTTGGCATGGTGATGGATGCCTGTAATCCAAGCTACCTGGGAGGTTGAGGCAGGAGAATCACTTGAACCTGGGAGGCAGAGGTTGCAGCAGTGAGCTGAGATCGTGCCATTGCACTCCAGCTTGGGCAACAAGAGGGAAACTCTGACTCAAAAAAAAAAAAAAAAAAAAAACAACCCAAAAAACCAACACCGAAGGAATTTGTTTAAATATATATTTTTGGGCCTGCAAAGTCAGGATTCCTAGAGGTTGGACACTCACATCTGTATTTATTTATTAGAGACAGGATCTCACTGTCACCCAGGCTGGAGTGCAGGGGCGCAATCTTGGCTCACTGTAGCCTCGACCTGGATCCTCCTGCCTCAGCCTCCTAAGTAGCTGGGACCACAGGGACGCGGCACCATACCTGGTTAATTTTTGTATTTTTTGTAGAGATGGGGTTTTGCTATGTTTCCCAAGCTGCTATTGAAATCCTGGCCTCCAGTGATCCTCTCACCTCAGCCTCCCAAAATGCTGGGATTACAGGTCCAGCCTGAAAGCTTTATTTTAAAAAGTCCTTCACAATCCCAGCAGTTTAAGACCAGCCTGGGCAACATAGGGTGACACCATCTCTGCAAAAAATAAAAAAACTGGAAATGGTGCCATGCGCCTATAGTCCCAGCTACTCAGGAGGCTGAGGTGGCAAGATGACTTGAGTCAGAGAGGTTGAGGCTGTAGTGCACTCCAGCCTGGGTAATGGAGCAAGACCTGGTCTCAAAAAACAAAACAAAACAAAACAAAAAAATACCTCCCAGATAATTGTGATACTCAGAAGTTTGGGAATTAGAATTAGTACCTGGTCTTTAAACAGCAAGTGTTTGAAACTCCCTCTTTAACCTCTGAGTCTACTGCTTAGCTGTGCTTCCTTGGGAAAGTGACTTAAGCTCTCTGAGCCTCATTTGCCTTATTTGGAGAATGGGGACAAGTCTAACTACCTCTCAGCGTGGCCATAAGGAACACATGATAGGCAGAGCATTAAGCTCAGGGCCTGGCACAGAGAATGTTCTCCAAGTCAGAATGTGCTTATTAGCTGCTACATTGATTATTCCAGCCAAGAATCTTTGGGATTTTGGGATGAACATGAGAAGCTGAAGGAATCAAAGTCCAAAACTCTGGACTTTACTCCTGTCCAGAGTTGCTGATGTTAGGAATGACAGGCTCACTGGGAAAGAATGGAGCAGACTGCCGAGAGGAACCAGGAGCGGGGTCCCAGGCCAAGTCCAAGGCAGAGGCTGTTCATTTTTAGCCACTGACATGGTCTCTAGGTCAGGGCCCTGGGCAGATATAACCTGCAAGAAACATAGCAGGGCTCTGTGGTTAAGACCTGAGGCTTAAGGGTCAGAGAGTGCTGGGTTCAAGTTCTGACTCCTGTTTTAGTAATGCCTGACATCAGATAAGAGACTCAAGAGGCTCCACGAGGGAGGCAGGCAGCACACCGTGGCTACTCAGCCAGGTTCTGGAGTCAGATAGCTTTGCTGTTGCATATGTGTTGGTCATTGGGGCCATCAGTCTTTTATCTGGCGAAACCTTTGGCTCATAGCTGGTTTGGGTGTGATTGTCACCTTTCACCTCATTCTCAGGTCCATCCACATGACATGGAACCTGGAGGTTTCCTCCCAATTCCATCAGGGTTGGGGGCCCCAACATCTCCTAGTCCCAACCATAGAGGGCTCTGGGCCCTTGGGTTTCCTTCCCTCCCTGTCTCCGCAGGTGGCCCCTCCTTTTTTTTTTTTTCTTTTTTTTGAGACGGAGTTTCGCTCTTGTTACCCAGGCTGGAGTGCAATGGCGCGATCTCGGCTCACCGCAACCTCCGCCTCCTGGGTTCAGGCAATTCTCCTGCCTCAGCCTCCGGAGTAGCTGGGATTACAGGCACGCGCCACCATGCCCAACTAATTTTTTGCACCTTTAGTAGAGATGGGGTTTCACCATGTTGACCAGGATGGTCTCGATCTCTTGACCTCATGATCCACCCGCCTCGGCCTCCCAAAGTGCTGGGATTACAGGCTTGAGCCACTGCGCCCGGCGCTACCCCTCCTTTTTTTGACAGGGCCTCACTCTGTCACCTATGCTGGAGTGCAATGTGTGATCATGGTTCACTGCAGCCTCAACCTCCTGAGCTTGATCAATCCTTCCACTTTAACGTCCTGAGTAGCTGGGTGCCACCACGCTTGGCTATTTTTAAAATTTTTTGTGGAGGTGAGGTCTCACTATGTTGCAAAGCTGGTCTCGAACTCCTGGGCTCAATCCATTGTCCCACTTTGGTCTCCCAAAGTGCTAGGATTATAGGCATGAGCCACCACACCCTGCCCAGCTGATGTGGCCCCTTCTTAGCAAAACTGGAGTGGGGCACTATTTGGTGACACTGCTCTGTGACACTGTTTTTTTTCCCCCCAAGACGGGGTTTCACCATGTTGGTCAGACTGGTCTTGAACTCCCGACCTCAGGTGATCCACCTGCCTTGGCCTCCAAAGTGCTGGGATTACAGGCGTGAGCCACCACGCCCGGCCTGTGACACATTTCTGTGTCAGGCCACCCAGAAATGACCCCTTTTAGTCCCCAGGAACAACAGTGCAGGCTGTACTGCGTTAGTATTTTGAACTCAGTAGGTGCCGGATGATAAATATTTTCGAGTAGGGTTTACACCGGATATGATCAAACAAACCATGTATGTGTACACACCAGCAAAGTAACCTCTGCTACCTGTTTTCCAGCACATGGGGGCACACCCTGAGAATCCATATCGCACAACCAGTTGCTCCTTACTGCCCCTGGTCGATTCAAAATCCTGAGAGGGGTGCTGCCAGAGAACCCCCTCTTCTATGTGTTCTGAGGATTCAGCCTTCCTGAATCCAGCCTGGCAGGCAGGAACCTTCCCAACAAGGCCCTCCCAGGGCTTACTTCCCAGGGCAGTTGGGTGCAACTCTGAGTGGACACTGCCCCCTTGAGGTCATGCCCACTATGACACCTGGGAGAGCGGAGTTTACACAACAGAAACAGACCCTGGTGATGCTTTCCTTCTAAGTGCCCTCTCTGGGTGCCTCGAGATTGAACCAAAATGCAGAGCTGGGTTACAACTGTGTTTGGGGGAGGCTTTCATCTTGCACTGAGAATCCAAGCCGACAAAGCCTGCAAATCACCATCCCTGATCACCTCTCAACCAGACTAAATCCCTTGTATCCTGGGCCCACTAAGTTCTCTCTGGAATACTCTCTCATATTTTTTTTTTTATTTTTTTATTTTATTTTATTTTTTTGAGACGGAGTTTTACTGGAGGCTGGAGTTCAGTGATGTGATCTTGGCTCACTGCAACCTCCGCCTCCTGGGTTCAAGTGATTCTCTTGCCTCAGCCTCCTGAAAAGCTGGGATTACAGATGCATACCACCATGCCAGGCTAATTTTTATATTTTTAGTAGAGATGGGGTTTTGCCATATTGGCCAGGATGGTCTTGAACTCCTGACCTCAGGTGATTCACCTGCTTCAGCCTCCAGAAGTGCTGGGATTACAGGTGCCCAGCCCTCTCCCACATCCTTTTCTGGCTACCTCCTACTGGACAGACATTGATGTCTCTTCCCCTGGGAAGTTTCCCAGTATCCCACATTGGGTAGATGCAGCTTTAATTTGCTTCCATAACCCCATGGCAGTGTTTTATCCAACCGTATCGTCATGGCTGCTTGGGTCTCTGACCTCCCACTGGCAGGCAAGTGGTGTGTGGTAGGGACCCAGAGACCGGAGCTCCCCAGCACTTGGCCCTGACAAATTTTTTGTGTAGGAAGAGGCAAGACCAGCCAGCTCTCCACATAGAGAAAACGGTGTAACGTGAGAAAACCTCAAGGAAAGGCTCACCTCTCGTGCGGCTCCCACCCACTCAGAGCCTGGCTGCTTCCTTCTCCTCCTCCTCTCCCACCATAAAACTGGGTGGTCAGCCTGGTGAGGTGGCTCACGCCTGTAATCCCAACACTTTGGGAGGCTGAGGTGGGCAGAACTTGAGATCAGGAGTTCCAGACCAGCCTGGCTAACATGGTGAAAACCCTGTCTCTACTAAAAATACAAAAATTAGCCAGGTGTGGGGGCAGGCGCCTATAATCCCAGCTACTGGGGAGGCAGAGGCAGGAGAATCACTTGAACCCAAAAGGTGGAGGTTTCAGTGAGCTGAGGTCACACCACTGCACTCCAGCCTGTGGCAATGGAGACTCTGAAACACACACACACACACACACACACACACACACACACACAGACTCTGTCACACACACACACACACACACACACACACACACACACACACCCCCATATGGCCCAGAAGCAGTTCTCTGCCTCAGCCTCCCAAGTAGCTGGGATTACAGGTATGTGCCTCCCTCCCTGCCTAATTTTTGTATTTTTAGTAGAGATGGGTTTTGTCATGTTGGCCAGGTTAGTCTAGTCTTGAATTCCTGGCCTCATGTAATCTGCCTGTCTTGGTCAAAGTGCTGGGATTACAGGCATGAGGCACTGTGCCTGGACCCTAAAATTTATTTTCATTTACTTATTTAGGGACAGAGTCTTGTCTGTTGCCTAGGCTGGAGTGCAATGGCACGATCTTGGCTCACTCTAACCTCTGCCTTCCAGGTTCAAGCGATTCTCCTGCCTCAGCCTCCTAAGTAGCTGTGATTACAGGCATCCACCACCACACCTGGCTAATTTTTTTTTGTGTGTGTATCTTTAGTAGAGAGGGGGTTTCACAATGTTGGACAGGCTGGTCTCAAACTCCTGACCTTGTGATCCTCCTGCCTCAGCCTCCCAAAGTACTGGGATTACTGGCATGAGCCACCATGCCCGGCCCCTAAAATTTATTTTTAACAAGAAGAAAAATTTACCTCTGGGAACACAACATAATTTTTAAATTTTTTATAGAGAGGGAGTCTTTCAGCCAGGCGCAGTGGCTCATGCCTGTAATCCCAGCACTTTGGGAGGCCAAAGTGGGTGGATCATGAGGTCAAGAGATTGAGACCATCCTGGCTAACATGGTGAACCCCATCTCTACTAAAAATACAAAAAATTAGCTGAGTGTGGTGGCACACGCCTGTAATCCCAGCTACTCAGGAGGCTGAGGCAGGAGAATAGCTTGAACTTTGGAGGTGGAGGTTGCGGTGAGCTGAGATTGCACCACTGTACTCCAGCCTGGCAACAGAGGGAGACTCTGTCTCAAAAAAAAAAAAAAAAAAAGGCTGGTCTTGAATTGCTGGCTTCAAGAGATCCTCCTGACTTAGCCTCCCAAAGTGCTGGGATTACAGGCATGAGCCACCACACCTGGCCCACTCTAAACTCTTGCCTGCTTCTCCCCAACCCAGAAAGGCAGTATTGGAAAGTACAGGCTTGAGTCTGACCTACGTTCAAATCCCTGTTCTGCCACTTGCTGGCTGTGTGACTTTGGGCAGGTCACTTTGCCTCCTCTTTGAGCCTCAACGTCTTCATCTGTAAGATGGGGATAATAATGCTAATTCCTCACAGGATAATTTTAAGCATCAGAGATAATGGACACTAAGTACTTAGCACAATGCCTGGCTCATGTAAGCCTGTTATAATCCAAGGCAGGCTCTCTTTATCCCAGGTTCCATTGGGGGCTATTGGAGTAGAGGGAATCAGTATCCGTTTATTGACAAATAAAATACATGTACCCCTATACAAGTATCACTGCGACATTTCAGGAACCTTGGAGCTGGGAACGCCCCTTCCTCCCGGCCCTCCTCTCCTCTAGGCTCCTCCTGATTCATCTTGGGCTCTCTAGAAAAGTGCTTCTGGCATTTTCTCACTGGAAACTCTGTAGGTGTGCTGGTTGGGCTCTCAGGGTTTATCATGGCCACACTGTTCCTGGGTGCTGCTCAGTCATTCATGTCCAGACCAAACTCTGGATACAACTCTTTGGTGGTGACACCTCGGATCATAGCTGAAAGGAAGGAAGGTAGGAAGGAAGGCAGGCTAAATGTCCAGTGGGGAGGTGGGAGGGAGTACAGCCAACGCTCCGAGCCAGTGTTACTGCCATGACCCACCAGGACCATCTCTGGCTACAAGCCAGTGCCCACACTTGTGCCTTGTCTAACTGGCTGAGGTAAGCTCCCTGCTACTCCTTCCAGGCTGCCCCACCATGGGCCCTGCCTAGCCACGCCACGCCAATAGCTCCCACCAGAGCTCCTCCATGTGCCAGCCACTGTGTTCAACACTGGACCTACGAGGACTCCTTGGACCCTCACCCCATTTTGAAGTGGAATGAAATAGAGCTCCCTTGATTCCATTCTCCACACAGAGCTGCTGGATTCATCTGCTTCAAATGTAAGCTGACTGTATGCTGTGCGTGCCGGACATATCAGACTCCACCGCATGGCCCACGGGCTCGATCGAGTTTGCCCCTCTGGAGCCCCCATGATGCTATTCTGCCTCCTTTCTCCACAAAGACTGGTCCTTTCTCCTGGGGAAGGGTTCTCCTCAGAGCCCTCCCCTGACTACTTTATCTTACCCCCAGCACCCTGCTGTTCATACCTCAATATTCTCCCCATTTCTGCCCTTTGTCGCCTTCATAGCACCTAACACATTTTGTAATTAACCTGCTGAGTTCACTTATTTCCTGGGTATTCTTCCACCCCCAACAGGAAAACAAACCACATGAGAGCAGAGACCTTCAAGTGTCTGGTTCACTAAATAGAAAAAATTAGCTGGATGTGGTGGTGGACTCCTGTAATCTCAGCCACTCGGGAGGCTGAGGCAGGAGAATTGCTTAAACTCAGGAGGCAGGAGGCAAGAGGCAGAGGTTGCAGTGAGCCAATATCACACCACTGCACTCCAGCCGGGCAACAAAAGCAAAACTTTGTCTCAAAAAAAAAACACGTGTCCGGTTCATCAAAGTGCCCCCAGTACTCTGTAAAGTGCCAGGCATAGAACAGCTGCTCAGTAAATGTTCACTGAATAAACAAAAAGGAGGTCAGGCATGGTGGCTCATGCCTGTAATCTTAGCACTTTGGGAGGCCAAGGTAGGTGGATCACTTGAGGTCAGGAGCTCAAGACCAGCCTGGCCAACATGGTAAAACACCTTCTCCACTAAAAAAACAAAAGTTAGCTGGGCGTGGTGGTGGGTGCCTGCAGTCCCAGCTACTTGGGAGGCTGAGGCACTAGAATCGCTTGAACCTAGGAGGCGGAGGTTGTAGGGAGCCAAGATCATGCCACTGCACTCCAGCCTGGATGACGGAGTGAGACCTAGTCTAAAATAAAAAAGGGATAGGTCACCTGCTCCACATCATATGATCTGGAAGTGACAGGCCTCATGCTGAGTCTCACTACTAAGAGCTTATGTTCTTTTTTTGAGATGGAGTTTTGCTCTTGCTGCCCAGGCTGGAGTACAGTGGATCCATCTCCATTTACCACAACCACTGCCTCCCGGGTTCAAGCAATTCTCCTGCCTCAGCCTCCCCAGTAGCTGGGATTACAGGCCTGTGCCACTATACCTAATTTTATATGTTTAGTAGAGACAAGTTTCTCCATGTTGGTCAGGCTGGTCTCGAACTCCCAAACACAGGTGATCCACCGGCCTCAGCCTCCCAAAATGCTGGGATTATAGGCATGAGCCACCCCGCCCAGCTGAGCTTCTGGTCTTAAATACTAGCCTACACTCCCCTCACATCCCCTTCTTCTTGGGCCCTGATCACCCTGCTCTTCTCATCCATCTATAGTTCCCGCCTCTGGTTTCTTCCTTCTCCTCCTCTGGGGCCCATTCTCCAGTGAAACACAGAGAAGCAGACCAGGCGCTATGGCTCATGCCTGTAATCCCAGCACTTTAGGAGGCCAAGGCGGGTGGATCACCTGAGTTCGGGAGTTTGAGACTAGCCTGACCAACATGGAGAGACCCCGTCTCTACTAAAACTACAAAATTAGCTGGGCATGGTGGCACATGCCTGTAATCCCAACTACTCTGGAGGCTGAGGCAGGAGTATCACTTAAACCCAGGAGGCAGAGGTTGCAGTGAGCTGAGATGGCGCCATTGCACTCCAGCCTGGGCAACAAGAGTGAAACTCTGTCTCAAATTAAAAATAATAATAATAAAGAAACACAGCCCAGCTCTTAGTACTACCCCAGTGGTTACTGACTGCTGAACATCAGAGTGCCTACCACTCCGAGCCAGGGGATGGAACTGAAGGGTATGTAGGGGGCCACCTGCAAATTTCCTCGCCTTCAAGGTAGTCTCTCCTAGCCAGCATGGCACACAAGTATTGGTGTCTCTGCTAAAGCCCTCTAGATAGTAAGATTTTGTTCAAGGAGGAACAAAATACTCCTTTAAGTCACAAAGGGTCACCCTTGCACTTGCTGCCTCTTTAGCAAGCCAGTCACTTGAGGCATGGTTGGTATCCTGATCACTCTTGAGTAGGCCCCAGAAGGCTGGGGAGACCCTGAATCCTCAGTCTGGCAGATGGGCAAGCCCGGCTCAAACCTGCCTGCAGCTCCAAAGTAGGCTCTGTACTTGAGGAACAAACCTAGGTTGCCAGGGAGGCCGGAGGCTGGTAAGGAGAGGGGCTGGGGCAGCCCAGGAGCAGGCCAACTGAGGAAGGTGAGCGAGTTGGCAAGTTAGGAGGTCCAGGAGCAAAACCCAACACCTCTAGGCGAGAAGACACCCTATGATGCCTGCTGGTGGCTCTGGAGTCCCAACTACTCACCGAGTTTGCCCATCAGCATCTGCCCCACATCCTTGATGTCATTGTACTCGTGAAGCTGGGTAATGTGGTCCTCCAGTTCATCCACACTGTAGCCTCTGGGATGAGCGATGGAGAGAGGGGGAAAGACAGCCCAGTTAAGAAAGCAGATGACGACCCCAGGCTCAGGCAGTAATAAGGCATCTTGAAGGGCCTACTCGGTGCTAGGTACCGGGGATATAGTGACAGCAAGACAGGCCCTGCCCTCATGAAGCTTACAGCCGGGCAGGGGATCTCTCCAGGTCCTCACTCCTGGCAAACACCCCCTGTCTTATTAGGGCGGGGTCTCCAGCCACAATGGTACTATGTGACCCTGGCCACAGCTGAGGGACTTGCAGATGGGCACATAATCCAAACAGCCAGGTGGATGCCCTCAAGTGTGAAGTGCACACACTCTGCCATGTGGCTGGAGCAAGGGGCTTGAGGAACTCCAGGAGGTGTTCAAGAGCCAGCTTCCCCTACACCCTGAAAACTCCACCTGCAGAGAGAGAATGGAGTCTGTGCAGAGGGAAGCAGAGGCAGAGAACATAGCTCCAGAGACTGGGAGAGCAACAGCTTTCATTTCAGACAGCTATCCAGGTCCTAGTTCAGGACCCTGGCAGCCAGAGCATCCCCCTACCTGAGAGGCTGCTGAAATACCCTGAATCCAGAAGCACAGTTCCATTTCTATGCTAAGCCAGTGTGACTGGGTTTCAGTTACTAGGCACTTAGAGAGTTAGGGCCAGGCATGGTGGCTCACGCCTGTAATCCAAGCACTTTGGAGGCCAAGGCGGGCGGATCACCTGAGGTTGGGAGTTCAAGACCAGCCTGACCAACATGGTGAAACCTGGTCTTTTTTTTTTTTTTTTTTTTTTAAGACAGATTCTCACTCCTACACCCAGGCTGGATATGGTAGCATGATCTCGGTTCACTACAACCTCTATCTCCCAGGTTTAAGTGATTCTCCTGCCTTAGCCTCTTGAGTAGCTGGGACTACAGGTGCATGCCACCACACCTGGATATTTTTTGTATTTTTAGTAGCGATAGGGTTTTGCCATGTTGGCCAGGATGGTCTCAAACTCCTGACCTCAAGTAATCTGCCTGCCTTGGCCTCCCAAAGTGCTGGGATTATATGTGTGAGCCACTGTGCCCAGCCAAAAGTTATCTTAACCATGCCGGGGAACCGAATGAGACTTACTCAGATATGAACTGGGAGATCTCCTTGTCCAGCATGTCCCTCTTCTCCTTCAGTTTCTGAATGTCAAGGTGCAGAGACTCCTCACTGGTCTGATCAGCCTGGCCAGATTTGGGCAATGGCCTCTGAGAAGCAGAAAAAGTCATCAACCAGACTGACCAGTTATCCACAATTCAGAGCCTACATGTCCCCCAGTAGTCACTCCCTGCTTCTGCTTGCTAATAGGCACCCCAGCCCCCTGAATAAGACTACATGTCCAAGCTTTCCTTGGAATTAGGTGTGGCTCTATGACTAAGTTCCAGTAAGTAGAACTTAATCATCTGGGATTTTTTTTTTTTTTTTGACAGAGTCCCTCTGTCACCCAGGCTAGAGTGCAGTAGCACGATCTCAGCTCACTGCAAACTCCACCTCCTGAATTCAAGCAATTCTCCTGCCTCAGACCCCCAAGTACCCAAGTAGCTGGGACTATAGGCGTGCGCCACCACACTCAGCTAATTTTTTTTTTTTTTTTTTTTTTGAGACGGAGTTTCGCTCTTGTTGCTCAGGCTGGAGTGCAATGGCGCGATCTCGGCTCACGGCAACCTCCGCCTCCTGGGTTCAGGCAATTCTCCTGCCTCAGCCTCCTGAGTAGCTGGGATTACAGGCACACACCACCATGCCCAGCTAATTTTTAGTATTTTTAGTAGAGACGGGGGTTTCACCATGTTGACCAGGATGGTCTCGATCTCTTGACCTCGTGATCCACCCGCCTCGGCCTCCCAAAGTGCTGGGATTACAGGCTTGAGCCACCGCGCCCAGCAATTTTTGTATTTTTTTTTTTTTTTTTTTTTTTTTTTTGAGACGGAGTTTCGCTCTTGTTGCCCAGGCTGGAGTGCAATGGCGCGATCTCGGCTCACCGCAACCTCCGCCTCCTGGGTTCAGGCAATTCTCCTGCCTCAGCCTCCTGAGTAGCTGGGATTACAGGCACGTGCCACCATGCCCAGCTAATTTTTTGTGTTTTTAGTAGAGACAGGGTTTCACCATGTTGACCAGGATGGTCTCGATCTCTTGACCTCGTGATCCACCCGCCCTGGCCTCCCAAAGTGCTGGGATTACAGGCTTGAGCCACCGCGCCCGGCCTAATTTTTTTATTTTTAGTAGAGATGGGGTTTTACCATGTTGGCCAGGATGGTCTTGATCTCTTGACCTCATGATCTGCCCCCCTCAGCCTCCCAAAGTGCTGGCATTACAGGCATGAGCCACTGCTCCTGGTCTGATTTTTGTATTCTTAGTAGAGACAGGGTTTCACCATGTTGGCCAGGCTGGTCTCAAACTCCTGACCTCAAGTGATCTGCCCGCCTCAGCCTCCCAAAGTGTGGGACTACAGGTGTGAGCCACCGTGCCCAGCTGTCACTGGGTTTATAATCTCATTGGATAAAACCCTTCCTTGGGTTTATGTTTCATCTTTTCCCTTTCTGCCTACAGAAGCTGTGAAGGCCAGTGCCTAGTACACAGCCAATCTTCAGGAAACATATGTTGAATGAACTGTCTACACATGATACAAGAAGAGACCAAAGAAAACACTCTTCCTGGTTTTAGGTCAGTGGCTTGTAACCAGTCACTCAGCAGAATGAGTGAGCACTCTCTGCTAGGAACTGACAAAGGGTCCAGGAGAGCAGCAATGAATGACACATCAAGTCCAGCCCACTGCTCTCATAGAATGCATAGCCTAAGCCCCAAAGAGAAAGCACCCAACAATTAAGTTCTTCCTGCAGGTGCTTCCACTTAAAGCTCTACTCATGTATGGCCACATCAGAAAGGCCCTCTCCGACAGCCCTCTCTATGATGGTCATGTCTCAATCATTTCCTTTCTCCTGATTTATATATATATATACATACATACATATATATATATATACACACACACACATATATATATACATACATATAAATACATACATACATACATATGTGTATATATGTATATATACACATACATATAATACATACATATATACATACAGATATATATATACACATACATATATATATATCTGTATGTAATTATGATAATAATTATTTTTTGAGACGGTCTTGCTCTGTTGCCCAAGCTGGAGTGCAGTGGCGCGATCTTGGCTCACTGCAATCTGCACCTCCCAGGTTCAAGTTATTCTCCTGCCAGGCATGCGTCATCACACCCGGCTAATTTTTTTATTTTTAGTAGAGATGGGGTTTTGCCATGTGGCCAGGCTGGTCTCGAACACCTGACCTCCGGTGATCCACTTGCCTTGGCCTCCCAAAGTGCTGGGATTACAGGTGTGGGTCACTACGTCTAGCATATATATATTTGACCACAACCTCCGTCTCCCAGGTTCAAGCAATTCTCCTGCCTCAGCCTCCCAAGTAGCTGGGATTACAGGCACACGCTGCCACACTTGGCTCATTTTTGTATTTTTAGTAGAGACAGGCTTTCACCATGTTGGTCAGGCTGATCTCCAACAGCTGACCTCGTGATCTGCCCGCCTCAGCCTCCCAAAGTGCTGGGATTATAGGCGTGAGCCACCACACCCAGCCTTTAAAAAATTTTTTTTAATTTAATTTTTCTTTTAAGATGGGATTTGTCTCACTCCATTGTCCATGCTGGAGTGCAGTAGCAAAATCACACCTCACTGTAGCCTCAACCTTCTGGGCTTAAGTAATCCTCCCACCTCAGCCTCTTGGGTAGCTGTTAGGACAGGCATGTTCCATAACACTCAGCTAACTTTTTTTTTTAATTTTTAAGTTTTTGTAGAGATGGGTCTTGCTATGTCACCCAGTTTGGTCTTCAACTCTGGGCTGGAGCGATCCTCAAACCTTGGCCACCCAAAGTGTTAGGACTGCAAGCATGAGCCACCACACTTCGCCTCCTGATGTTTTATAGAATTTTTCTTCACCTGTCAAGTTATGCATTTCATTATTTTCGTGGTCTTATGTTGCTTTACATCCCTGAAGTGTAATGTCCATGCACGAAGGGACTTTTGTTCACTGCTGATTGCAGTGTCTACAACAGTACATGGCACACAGTAGGCACTCAATATTTATTAATGAATGAATGAATAACCAATAAATGAATTATAAATCTGAAAAATGCTTTGAAGTACAGTGTACTATGGGAGGGTCTAACAGGGCAACTGGACTGAGCCAGGAGTGGGGATAAAGGCTTCTCCAAGGAAGCTGAATTTTAAGGGATGAGCAGGCTTTAGCTTGGCAGAAAGGTGGAAGAAAGTATTGCAGGCAGAAGGGACAGAACAGTTGGCCCTCCATATCAGTGGGTTTCACACTGAAAACATCTGATTGAGAAAAAAGCATGGTTGAGTTTGTATTGAACATGTACGGACTTTTTGTCTTGTATCACTCCATGGGGGTCCAGCATCTCCATGGATACCCAGAGATGAATGTGTACTCAAATGCTGTAAGGCAGGAGAGAGCACATGAGTTGGGGGAAATGAGAGTGGTTTCCATGTATGTGAATGGGTGAGTGAGGGGACAGTGGTGTGAAAAAGAACAAATGCAACCATGCATGGTGCTATTAGAAAGGAGGAGAGGCGGCCGGGCACGGTGGCTGATGCCTGTAATCTCAGCACTTTGGGAGGCCGAGGCAGGTGGATCATGAGGTCAGGAGTTTGAGATCAGCCTGGCCAATACGGTGAGACCCCCGTCTCTACTAAAAATACAAAAATTAGCTGGGCATGGTGGCACACACCTATAATTTCAGCTACTCAGGAGGCTAAGGCAGGCGAATTGCTTGAACCTTGGAGGCGGAGGTTGCAGTGAGCTGAGATCGTGCCATTGCATTTCAGCCTGGGTAACAGAGTGAGACTGTCTCAAAAAACAAAAACAAAAAAACAAAACCAAAAAAAAGGGAGGAGAGGCAGAGCCCACTTCAAGAGCCTGGAGTTCCTCTGATGATGCAAGGGCAGCTGGAGGAGTTGGTTTGTGGTCCTGGTTAGGAGGCTGAGTGTGATTTCAGACTTGGCAAGTAGAAAGGCAAAGATTATGCAGGCAGCTCTGGGTGTCCCAAGAAAGGTCAGGACTGGAGAGAGACGGGAGAGTTGTGGGCACTGGGGTAGGCTGAGGGCGTGGAAGTGAGACCTTGGAGTGTGTGTGCAGAAAGAGAACAGCAGGAGGAGGGTAGAGTGACTCAGATGTGCCCACATTTACCTCAGGAGTGGCAGGGAGCAGAGAAGCCAGCCAAATGTGCAAAGAAAAAGAGGCAGGGGGTCAGGAGGATGCCCCTGCAAAGAGGCCCAGAGACGAACAAGCACAGGGTACTGGTTAAGAGTTCAGTTCAAGGCCAGATGTGGTGGCTCACACCTGTAATCCCAGCACTTTGGGAGGCCAAGGCAGGTGATCACCTGAGGCCAGGAGTTCAAGACCAGCGTGGCCAACATGGAAAAACCCTGTCTCTACTAAAAATACAAAAATTAGTGGGCTATGGTGGCAGGCGACTGTAATTCCAGCTACTATGGAGGCTGAGGCAGAAGAATCACTTGAACCTGGGAGGCGGAGGTTGCAGTGAGCTGAAATCATGCCATTGCACTTCAACCTGGGAGACAGAGTGATACTCTGTCTCAAAAAACAAAACAAAACAAAACAAAACAAAAAGAACTCAGTTCAAAGTCCTCAGCTCTGCCATGTCCTGGCTATATTCATCTCTCTAGAACTCATGGGCCTCATCTCAACACGGGGACAGTAAACCATCTTGCCTCAAAGGTTGCTGGAAGGAACTGGAAAGGTGATGTATGTAAAGTAAGCTGATGGGGACAGTGCTCAATAGAGCCTCTTTTTTTTGGGGACAAAGTCTTCCTGTGTCACCCAGACTGGAATGCAGTGTGATCTCGGCTCACTGCAACCTCTGCCCGCCCCCGCGTTCAAGTGATTCTCCTGCCACAGCCTCCCAAATAGGTGGGATTACAGGTGCCTGCTACCACACCTTGCTAATTTTTGTATTTTTAGTAGAGCTGTCATTTCAACATGTTGGCCAGGCTGGTCTCGAACTCCTGACCCCAGCTGATCCACTCGCCTTGGCCTCCCAAAGCGCTGGGATTATAGGCATGAGCCCATGCCTGGCTGAGCCTTGTTTTTAAAAATAGAATGGAAAGTTGGGCATGGTGGCTCCTGCCTGTAATCCTAGCACTTTGGGAGGCCGAGTCAGGCAGGTTGCTTTGAGCTCACCAGTTTGAGACAAACCTGGGCAACATGGCGAAAATCTGTCTCTACTGAAAATACAAAAAAATTAGCCAGGCATCATGGCACACGCCTGTGATCCCTGCTATTCAGTAGGCTGAGGTGGGAGGATGGGCTGGGCTTGGGAGGCAGAGGTTACAGTGAGCCCAGATTACACCATTGCAGGCCAGCCTGGGCGACAGAGTGGAACCCTGTCTCACAAAAAAAAAAAAAAAGAAAAGAAAAGGGAAGGAATGAATTAGCATGAATGAGAAAGGCATGATCTGCAGTTAGTTACCACATGGTCAAAAACAGTGGAAACCAACTCACTCTCAGAGAGTTCAATCAGCCAAATGCTTTTGGCAAACTGTGGTTGCCACCTTGTCATCATCATCTGGGCTCACTGTGATTGCCCTTCAGACCTTGCCTCTGACCCTGCCATCTCTGGAAAGCCCTCTTTGCAAGTCCAACCCTGGGCTCCCCCTCTCAGAACCCATGTGCATACTTGTCCCGGAACTGTTTTTTGGCCTGTGGCTCCTGGAGGGCAGGGCGCTCTCTGGCACACACCTGCATTGCACAGTTGCTAAATCAATGAACAAACAAATACCAAGTTTTTCCTGATCTAACTTTATTTTTTTTGAGACGTAGTCTAGCTCTGTTGCCCAGGCTGGAGTGCAGTGGGGCGGTCTCAGCTCACTACAACCTCCACCTCCCTGGATGAAGTGATTCTCCTGCCTCGGCCTCCTGAGTAACATGCACCACCACGATTGACTGATTTTTTTTTTTTTTTTCTTTTTTGTAGTTTGAGTAGAGACAGGGTTTCACCATGTTGGCCAGCCTGGTCTTGAATTCCTGACCTCAAATAATCCACCCACCTCGGCCTCCCAAAGTGCTGGGATTACAGGTGTGAGCCACCTCTCCTGGTCCTCATGATCTAACTTGGGAGTGGTGGTAGTGGTAGTGGCGACTCCAACTGGGGGATGAGAGGAGGAGGAGGCTGCGTTTTGGGGGTGGCTTGCCAGAGAAGAGGAGAGACTATTTAGCAACTAAAGGAGTGGCCAGGGTGAACACCAAGCATTTTCCTGACTGGGGAGCGGTGGGTTTGTTTAAAGGCAGGGCTGGGTAAGGGGTGAAACCACCGAGCAGGAGAGATGGCTGGTGCTTGACTGGAGTGAAAGGCATCTGAGGAAGCAGGAGGCAGGAAGGGGAGGGAGAAGAGTTAGACTAGGACAGGACAGGATAGCACTTCTTTGAAGACTGGCAGGCGGGAGGAAAGGAAGGGGAGGGATTGAGAAAAGACCTGAACGTTCTCAGTCGGCTGGGAGAAGACACGGAAAAGGGCCAAGTGGGGATCAGCTGCTGTTGGGATGGGGAGGAGGGCTGGGAGCGGCAAGGATTCACACCGAGGGAGTGTCGGGGATGGGAAGGTGGGTGTGGGTAAGACATACTCACAGGGGATCGGAAGGCCCCGCGGCAACTTCGAGTAAGTCCTGATTCAGTCCTGCAGAGGAATCCGAGGGGAAAGCCTAATTGAACCCGCTTCTGATAGGACAGGGATACCGTGGGGATGCGGGAGGAGAAGCGGCTGGGAAGTAGGAGGGGCTGGGAAGTAGGAGCGCACGGAACTGAAAAGGGGACACACACGCTCCCAGGATCAGGGTAGAGACCCTCTAGGAAGGGGAAATTCCGAGAGCGGGGTCGTCTGGAGCACTGGAAGGGAGTCTTTGGAAGTGATTTTTGGAAAGGGAAAGTCTGGGGCACGGCCATGAGGAGTCAGGAAAGAAACTGTGGAGTCCATTTCTCGCCCACCTCCTGAGCCCTGGGGTCCGAGGCCCCCGGATCAGGGGGTTGAGTGGCGCAAGAGGGTCCAGGGCGGGAGTCGGAGAACAGCCTCTCAGGTTCTGAGCCGGAGCGTGAACGGTCGCACAGAAAGGTGCGCGCGCACCCAACGATAACCAGCCCCACTCCTCTCACGGGATGGGCGGGGACTGCAGTTGCGCGCGCAGCTTTTGTTGTGACGCCACAGGTCCCTCTGGCCACGCCGCCGCCTGGCCACGCCTCCTTTCTGCTTCATCTTTCTCATTGACCAATGGGCTTGGATCGGTTGAGGCCACGCCCTTATTCTGCCCTCTAATAGCGCACTGGTTACGCCTCCTCTGGCTCCGTCGCACTGCTGCGCGGTGGCTGACTGACTTACGCAGTGGCTGCCGGGATTGCGCTGATGTGGCCCCAACCCCGCCTCCCTCCCCGCCCCGCGATGTCGGAAGAAACCCGACAGAGCAAATTGGCCGCAGCGAAGAAAAAGGTAAAGCGCGCCGTGTCGTGGCCCCCCGACCCAGCCCCAGCCCCCCTCCTATGGCAGGACCGCGGCCAGAGTCCGTGCCACTCCTGAGGCACACCGGGCTGGGCCCCCCGGTGCCTCTGGGCTGCCCCCACCAAAGTCTTGTCAGCCAGCCCCGCCCCCTCAACCGCCCAGCCCCCGCCCTCGCCAGTCGCCCCCAGGTGACTTTGGGCTGGTGACTCCCGGGGCTCCCCGCTTCAGACTCGGCCCTCACCTCCTGCCGTCCCAGGTCCAACCTCCCTGGGCTCTTTGGGCTGGTGTCTCCAAGGACCTCGGTCCCCAGCAGCTCAGCCAGTGACTTTGGGCCCGAGACTCCAGGAGCTCACCGCTCCAGACTCGGCCCTCACCTCCTGCCGCCCCAAACCGGCCCTCCCTGGGCTCATTGGGCTCGAGTCTCCAAGGACCTGGGTCCTGGCCCTGTGCTCCCCTCCCCCATCGCAGAGCGGCGACTCGGACGTCGCGCCGTTGTCCCCCCAACCCCCGGGAAGAGTGGAATGTAGTGACGTCACAACCCCCCCTCGGAACCGTAATTAGTGCTCTAGACCAGCCTTTGATCTTAGGACCCAGCCCCATAAGTGTTCTCATCCCGTTTATGGTTCCCCTGGTCACAGCATAAATTTCCAGCTGGAAGGGGAATGGGGACTATGGGACCTAGGAGGGAGAGGTTTCAGGCTTCCTTACTCCCTTAACATAGACGTTGACAGTATGAAAAGCCTGCACTTCTCCTGTGAGTTCAAAACGTTGGCAGTATCTCTGGGTAGCAATGTGAGAATGAGTTTGGTTTGGTTTTCTCCCAGGCTTCTCCTCTCCAGAGAGACTTTAACATTTTTTTCTGACTTCTCCACCTCATATTCGAATTCTCCATGGTTCTGGGACCAGAGTGCCCTTTAATCAGTGGTCTTTGGAATGAGATCTGCTTATCTTCTGTGGAACAGGTCTTCGGAAACTGAACTTGACAGCTTGAATCTTTCTCATATCATCTCAACCTGGGGGTACTTGGAGCGCAGTGGATAAATTGCATCTTTCTGAAGCATCAGTTTCCCTTGATTCTCTTAAGAGAGAAAAACATTAATGTACTTAGGGATGACAGTCACATAAATGTGTGAGAATACACCAGACTTCTCTCTGAAATGAGGCTTGGGTTGTCCTCTTTCTGTTAAATTCCTAGATTTAACAGAAAGGCTGCCTTCTGCCATGAGGATACATTGATGTAAAAGTTTGACAGGTATTCGTGCATTTCTTTTTCTTTCTTTCTTTCTTTCTTTTTTTTTTTTTGAGACAGAGTTTCACTCTTGTTACCCAGGCTGGAGTACAATCGCGCGATCTCAGCTCACCGCAACCTCCGCCTCCTGGGTTCAAGCAATTCTGCCTCAGCCTCCCGAGTAGCTGGGACTACAGGCGTGCGCCACCATGCTCAGCTAATTTTTGTATTTTTAGTAGAGACGGGGTTTCACCATGTTGACCAGGATGGTCTCAATCTCTTGATCTCGTGACCCACCCGCCTCGGCCTCCCAAAGTGCTGGGATTACAGGCTTGAGCCACCGCGCCCGGCGTATTCGTGCATTTCTTACACTAACAAATGTGTGAGGATGCATGATTCTAAACCACACAGTGTATAGTTCCTGCCTACTTAATTTTTATTTTTCTACCTCTGCCTCTGGATTTGGCCCCTGGTAGCTGCTGATTTGTGGCAAAACCCCCGAGCTCAGGAGTCAGAAGACTGAGTTTAAGTTCAATTATTGCCTTTTTTAAAGCCCATGGTATCAGTCAGTCCCTCTCAGTCACTAAGTGATTGTGATAAGATCTTGTACAGTTGTTGGTGGCATTAAATCAGATGGTCTATAAGACTATTTTGGAAAAATTGTAAAGTAGGATGTACCTGTAGGGGCTTGTAGTTCTCATGAGTATTGCTGTTCTTTTCCACAGCTGAGAGAATATCAGCAGAGGAATAGCCCTGGTGTTCCTGCAGGAGCAAAAAAGAAGAAGAAAATTAAAAATGGCAGTAGCCCTGAGACAACCAATTCTGGTGATTGCCACTCATCTGAGGATGTGAGTCTTGGCTGGCCGGGCTCCTGGGGACAGGGGGCCCAAGGGGCAGTAGAGGGTAACTTATGATTGTGGAAGAACTGTCCGGTACTAGCTAAGAGTTCTGAGTTTGTATCATACCTGTCCATCTGCTAGGGATATGATTTTAGTGCAAATTGTTGGAGCTTTTTGGGCCTCTGTTTTCACATCTGTAAAGTATTGTTTTATTTACACTTGTGAAGTTTAAATGAGATTTGTTATTGTTGTTGTGTTTATGTTAATCCCTAGTACAGGGCCTGCTATAAACACTTAGGACACCCAGGAAATGGTAGTTGCTGTTTCATTTTCCTCATCCCCAGTCTCAAGGGGAAGCCAGGCCAATGAGAACAGCCACTTGTCATCAGGCTATCCCTTTAGGAGTCACTGAAAGGGCCCCAGGGTGTGGTGAGGAGAGCCCCAGGTGCCAGAATTAGGAGAAGATCTAACTTTTGAGTTCATCTTTGTCACCAGCTTGCTGGATGACTACAGAAAAAACACTTCTTTCCCTGGGCCTCAGTTACTTCCTCATAAGATGACATTGGATAAGATCAGTATCTTTCAAGCTTGTTTTTTAGCTGGAACCCCCTTTGTTCAAGTGAACCCTTACTCAGAAGTCTGGTTTTTAAAATTAAGGTGGAGGTCTGTAGCTCTACCAGATTCATTGCCCACATCCTGGGCCTGAGGGGTCCAATGAGCATATTAAGAGCTGCCCTGGTCAGGTGACTCCACCTTGTATGACTGCATCACTCAGGGGACTTTTCCATCTATTTGTTTCTGCCCCTGGCAAGGCAGCAGGTGGCCATTTGGAAGGATGGCACAGGCCATGGTATTGATCTCCTCCACTCTTCTTCAGCATTTCGTTTCCCTGAACCCACATCTTCCTCCTTCCTTGACTTTCTTGCCTCTCTGTAAGCCATTTCTGTCTTTCTCCCCCTGCCCTTGTTTTTCCCTTTTTGCCTCCTGTAGATTCAGGACATTCTGAAGGTGCTGGTGTCCGACCTTAACCGCTCCAATGGGGTAGCGCTCCCCCCATTGGACAAGTGGAAGGTGAGGCAGTGCCGAGACCCCTCTCTGGCTTGCTCTCTCCAGCTGTGCATGCCCCTGAGGCTTCTCTGGTTTGGGGGATACTTTGCCTCTGGCTTATTTTATGTTGCTGCCATTAACCTTCAGCCTGTTTATGTCCGCTTCTTCACCTGCTTGATTGATTGGGTTTTTATCCTTCCCCTAAATCTTGTATCATCTTGGAGAAGGTGAGACATACCTTACAGTTTAAAAGTTTAAAGATAATTTGGGAATAACATTCAGAACAGGCGTGTAGGATTTTAGGCTTTTGTTTTCCTTTCCTTTTTTTTTTTTTTTAAAAAAAAAGAGACGGGGTTTCACCATGGCCAGGATGGTCGTGCTCTCTTGACCTGGTGATCTGATCGCCTTGGCCTCCCAAAGTGCTGGGATTACAGGCGTGAGCCACTGCGCCCGGCTCCTTTTCTTTTTTTTAGAGACTGAGTCTCGCTCTGTCGGCCAGGCTGGAGTATAGTGGCATGATCTTGGTTCACTGCAATCTCGGCCTCCTGGGTTCAAGCAATTCTCCTGCCTCAGCCTCCTGAGTAGCTAGGATTACAGGCGCCCGGCACTGTGCCCAGCTCATTTTTTGTATTTTTAGTAGAGACGGGGTTTTGCCATGTTGGCCAGTCTGGTCTTAAACTCCTGAGCTCAAGTGATCCACCTGCCTCGGCCTCCCAAAGTGCTGGGATTACAGGCATGAGTCACTGCTCCCGACCTCAGATTTGGCCTTTTGAATGCCCGGTGTGGGTACTCTCAGGCTAGGAGAAATGAAAAAAAAAAAAAACCTCAACCAACCTTTAGGATTTCCCCTAAAGGCGAAGATCAGTAGACCACACACACATAGAAGTTAGTGATTTTTTTTTTTATTATTAATTCACTTTGATTTAAGAGTAGGGAACAAAGGGTTAAGAGAAAATAAGTTCACATTATAGTTGGAAGGATTGAAGCTATCTTTTCAGAGGAACTAACTGTAAAAGATGTGAGGTTCCCCAGACAGATGAGTGGCCAAGATGTTCTGCCCCTAATCTCTCTTAAAATCAAATGGACACTTAACCACATTCATTGGGCTCTTGAAAACAAAGGCACTTTGCTAAATAAACAGTGGAGAAAATAGATGAACAAGGTAGGCTGCACACTGAGGGAGGCAGACTCCTCTGAAGGAGGCAAGAGAGAATTTTGGAAAATTCCAAATGCTCAGCTCGGGGGGAGGTTGGTTCCGAATGGACTCCAGGCTGGAGGAGGTGGCATTTGACGCTGGCTTGAAGATTAAAGGTGGGTAATATTCATCCATATGATGGGTAGTGGGGGAGGCAGGGGGAGTGGTGAGGTCATGGCCAGTGCTATAAACTCACAGAGCACCTTTCAGGAACACAGGGAGCCTGGTGTGGGGATACACAGGGCTAGGAGACAATCTCCTCTGGTTGTGATTTGCCATTTCCTCCATATCTAACTTGTCTCAGGGACTCCTGGCAAGCCAGAGGAGCAGGGCACGAATAGAGCCTGATCCTGTTGAAGACGGGCATGGGGAGAGGGACTGAGACAGAGCACCCATGGTGGCTGTTAGAGAGTTGTTCAGTCATCATACTTGTTACCCTCCAGTCAGTCAGGTCTGTCCAGGTGCTGTGACTCACCTTGCCGGCTCAGAGGAGACACTGGGGAATACAGGCCTTGATGAGTCCTGCAGTCATGTATTTGGCTTTTGCTCTACCAATGGTCCAGTTGATTAGGGGTCTGCGGCCTGTTTACTAATGCTCTGAGATTCTGTGCCAGCCCAGGTCCCTCTGTTCTGAAAACAAAGGCCTAGATCCTCATATTTCCTTCTTGCTTTTGTTTTTGTTTTTGAGAAAGAGTCTCCCTGTTTCTTCCTGGAGTGCAGTGGCGCAATATTGGCTCACTGCAACCTCCACCTCCCAGGTTCAAGTGATTTTCATGCCTCAGCTTCCCAAGTACCTGGGATTGTAGATGTGTACCATCATGCCTGGCTAGTTTTTGTTGTTGCTGTTGTTTTTGTATTTTTAGTAGAGACAGTGTTTTGCCCTGTTACTCAGGCTGATCTCGAACTCCTGGCCTCAAGTGATCTGCCTGCCTTAGCCTCCCAAAGTGCTGGGATTCCATGCGTAAGCCACTGTGCCCAACCCCTTGCTCTTTTTATACTTTTCTATATCCATAACTGTTTCTTTTTAATTTCTCGTTTTTAATTACTAAGTTTTCTACTCCAAGAATGCAGGCCTGTGATTGTAGTATCCTGGGTAGGGATGATAACATTTCCAGAAGTAGGGAATAATGGAGAGAAAAAATATCTTTTTTTTT